GTGCAGTAATTACTTTTTTGTGTAATGACCCCGTCACTAATCACAACAAAGAGAGGAAACCAACAAAATTCACAAACATTTGAACACTCAGCATGTAATTAATTTGCATGAATGTAACGTCTTTGATACGCTGCTTAGAGATGGTGGTGACTCTTAAAGTGGAGCCAATGAGAATCGATAATGGAATCAGAATCGTCAAATCCTTATCAATTCCCACCCTAGTGGCCACGCTTTCCTTGATGAGGATGTGCATATCCTGAAATGGGAGGAACGCTGGTTTGGAGTCAGGGAGGCCATTTAAAAGGGAAAGACCATCTCTGAATCAAGGCTACTGTCATGATCCTGGGTCCTTTTGACCCAGCGTTTTGTGCTTTCTACTATTGTAATATTGATTCTGTTCCTCCTCGGTTAGTGTTCATTCTTTTCTGCCCGTGTATCCCTGTGTTTAGTCCGCGTTTCTTAGTCTGTGTCCTTGCATGTGTAAGTTCCTGTTTTATTGTGAAGGTCTGCGTCTTATGTGAGTGTTTTCAGTTTGCCTCCCTTGTCTCGTCACGTTAATCACTCCCAGCTGTGTCCCCTACCTGTGAGTAATCTCCCTGTGTTTCTCTGAGTGTATTTAAGTTGTGTCTTCTGTCTTAGTCGTTGCTGGTTCGTCTGTGTGGTTTCCCCTCATCGGTACTCATCGCCATTGATCAATAATCATGAACATTTGCATATTAATGATAAAGAAACTGAACTCACAGCCCGTTGTTAGTAGTGCTGGTTTCAGTCATTATGCAGATGTACTGTTTATAAGATTGGGGAAAGCTGCAGTCAGCTATGACTGAAGAAGTCTCTTTGATGAGGGACAAACTGTAATACTGTGTCCAGAAGAAAGGAATCAGTTTTGGGGGATTTCCTTAACTGGATGATTGCGCGTGCATCAAGATATTATGGCTATAGCTTTAAATAATGAACACAATATGTGCAAATAATTCCTGTTAGCCAAAAGTTTAGTCATAAGAGTGCTCCTGAACACTGTTTCAGACAGTTCTTTATCCCCAATATGGTCAGGAAAACCTCTGGCTGGGAGTACAGCAACCTCCTACCACTTCCTTAAGCCTTCCTTTCAAGGGGGGCAGCCAATCAGAGAAGAAGATGGCTTAAAGTGGCTTGTTTCAAATATGAGTGTCGTAGGTGGTTTTTGAAGAATTTGTTACCTGTGTTTCCTACATAAAGGTTACCTGGGCGGGGACTAACATGACCACAGTCTGATGGGCTAAACGGACAATTTTCCAAATAATCAATAATAACAGTAGCAGCATGTATGAATTGTAAATTGGCAATTCTTGATTTGTGTTGATATTTTACTGTCCAGGCTTTTTCTTAACAAATCCAATGAACACAGCCTGCTACTCCCCTTCCTTACTGAAGCTAACTGAAGACGATATCCTCACACGTAAATTACCAGATGCTGCATCACCTGTCTGTTGACTGACAGCCTGCCAGCAGCACACTCTGCAAACACGAGGTTCCCCGCCATCCACAGTCTTTAATTCTTTTTTGAGCAGAACAAAACATTGATAAGTCATCAAATAGTGTCAAACAGCAAGTTTTTTTTTTGTTGTTTTGGGGGTTTTGTGAGTCACCAGTCACCGCCGTAGCATCCCTCACTTAAACCCTCGGGATAAGGGATGCTCGTTGCGAGACAATGTGCCTGACTCGAACAAAAATACAGCATCAAAGAGCAAACACTTTGATCCAGTAAAGAGAAAA